GCTAAGCTCCGAAAATTCTTCTAATTTCGTGAATTGTTCCGAACTTTTCAGTGAAAGTTCCGGTTTCCGATTTCGATTACCATATTTCTTTGGATTTTATCTCAAGTTCTGTTCTCCACCGAACTTGACAGTCCTCATGACATCCTGCTCTGCCTCTGCTTTTCTTTGTGGTTTATTAGGTGGAATTGCTGCTGTCCTTGGAGTTTTGCCCTTCAAGTGTTGGAAAGAGAGCGAAGGTGAGGCAGTGGCAGATGGCGCCGTTACCCCATGCCGCGTTCCGCGATCAAACTTCCGCTTTGTCTCTCACACTGACCAACAATGTTTTTGCACCCTTTATGATTTACTAAGTTCATACCGCTTTTGTTCAAGAGGGTCAAAACACTGCTGTCTCCTTTAGCTGCCCTCGTAAGGCTTTTCTTAGGCAAATACGTAGGAACCAAGAGAAGTTTCGAATGGAGACGGGTGTTTAGTGCATTTCTGAAATGGATAGGTGGACAGCTACCAGAATTTCCTAATCAGAATGCTTCCAAGAGGGAACAGGGGCAGCGCATTCGTTGCTTCTATGAAAAAGCTGCGAATACTTCTAGGCAAATCCACAGAACACCTTTTCCGTCGTTTGCCATGATGGCAAATGCCGAAGGCAAAAATCTTATTAGGGGGCAGCTTGACGAGAAGAAGAGTCAAGCATTTCCTAGGTAAAATGATTTTTCCAATGTGTCAGATTCCTGGTCTGCAAGCAACTCTTTTAAGGGATGTGGGATAAAGCATTCAGCATCATCACCAGATCGATCCTTTCCTGTGATGCGCCACGCATTCTACTTCCTTCCGAGTTCGTAGTGGCGTTGGAATGCCGTATTGCCTACACAGTAACTTGCGGGGCCCGGTTGACATACAAATATTTATTTCTTTCCTCCCACATTGAGTATTTTTTATCCTCCTACAGTATATCCTCCTACAAATTTGTGCCATCTGGGCGAAGTTAGGTTCGAGATTCGACCGCGCGACAGTGGTGATTGACGCTACTTTCCGTCACATCGAATTCGTTCAGCACCTCTGCCTAAAAACCATCAAATTCGTATGAACGATAGTAGCCATGCAGGATTGAAGAAGTATTATTTGGCGCTATAACAATAATGTAATTTTTTGATACCGTTCTCCAAACGAATTGCGAAGGCTCTGCGACTTAAATTAAAGATCGCTGTGAAGCTCTAGGATAGCCCCGGACCTAACTGCAATTGTTTAATCGTTTGCAGTGTGTCATTTAGTGACACCTTTCAGTTTTTAAGTTCCTGTACTTTTCATTTTCCTGTCAGTTTTCTCGCCCTATTTTTAAATGTAGCCAGGTTTCATAACAATAACCATAGCTTTTTTACTTATTGCTGCTTGCTTATTGTTAGTCTAGCCAGTTGCCTGTTTATCCGTTCATCTGCTCATTATATCATTTTCTCCAGTAAATATCGACCTCTCGATTTCTTGGCTCATCAATTCCTTCATAATGTGATGGAAAAATCTTATCGCTGCGTCACGCGAAAGCGCATCTTGGCTCTTCAATAATTAGGCAGGGGGATGGGGGAGAGCACGAATGGAATGATGGGGAAGAATTTGAAAATACAGTTTGGGGTTTTCACTCCTTGGGCTATCGAACACTACGGATAAGATAATAATGTGAACGACTCATTTGAAGTGCACTTTTGATAAGGACCGGTGGATGTCCTTCATTCCACACATCCTGTCACATTCTGTCCAATTTTCTGCACCAGGTCGTCCTGGAGCTTCTCCACCCTTTGGATAAGGGAAGGATCTCCACTCCCCTGGTTCAGTACAGTTTCCCTGGACCTGGCCCAATTGTGAAAGCACTGCAGATTTGCTTCCAAACTCCATCAGTATTTATCAGGAGTACCCTTCAAATGAATCGGTTACGCGTCATGAGTGCTCTCATTCTCATCTAAGTATCGGAAAGCAGGGTAAAGTGCTCCCCTCCCCCACCCCTGCCTGGATTTTCACCTCGTTTTTCTACCAACATCATCTAGGAGATCAGTTTTTGAGATAGAAATTAATTAGACGCTGGAGCCTGTGATATAAAACTTCTTCTCTCGGAATTTGACGAGGAGTTGAAGGGGTTCGAATGTCACAGCTTGGCCCTTTTTCTTGATTCTCGCCGAAGAGCTTTTTCCCTACCGGGTCTTGTTCCGTAACATTTTTCCTCCAGGAATCCGCTTTCACATTTGAGCCCCGACTAACTTTTTTCTCTTGTTTATGAAGAGCGATCCCATGTGATTATCCAGGCAATCGATTTTCCGCGCGTTTATTTTTGACGCTGGGTAGATGTGATTTCGGCACTGGCAGAGGCCAAGCGTCTCTTAACGAGACCGTCGAATTGTTTGACGTTGGGAGCATGTGGCGTGGGCTGATGTTTGCTAACGACGTCAGCTACTGGAGAAGTTTTGCTACAGAAAACAGCGAGAGAGAGCGCGCGTCCATGGAAAAGCCCCTGCAATCACACAGAAACATGAACACGAACAAAGCCAAAAAACACACAACGGCGGGTGCCTCGGGAAGATTTTTTGGCAGAACTCCAAGTGGAAACCGAGAAATGAGGAAAAAAGTGGTAGTAAAATTACTGAAAAGGTCAAGTTCTTGGGCTCTCACGGCCTTCGGGGAGGGGGGGGGGAACATTCAAGTGTGAGCCAATTACTGTGCTTGGGACTAAGCCTCAGGCAGGGGAAGGGATTCTGTCGGTAAGATGCAAGCAATAGTGTGCTTTTCCCATCTCCTGGG